TGATTAATACTGTGTGATAGAATTACCATGAAAATGTTTGATTCTTTTGGAAATACACCTTTTCAACATAGGAGAGTATTTCCTGAACTGGGACAAAATGGCTGCTGTCTCCTGGTCTCAACAAAATATACTTGAAATATTTCTACTTTACAACAACAACAACAACAATTTCCTATTTTATGCAGTTGAAGTGCTCCATACAAACAGCTTATAATAAAATATAATTTTTTAAACTCCCTCTTGAGAAATTTCTGTGCTCTTTTTGTTTGCTAAGAACACAAATCTCTGTTTGAAAGTCAAAGAAGAGACTTGGATAGAATCCAACTAGGTAGTAACTGGTATGGCATCCCTCAGGTTTCAAAGGCAAATAAAATAGTAGAATTTTGAAAAAGGTTCATCTCCTACAGATACTTACTTAAAATAAGACTTATCTTTCCAAAATTTGTTTTGTGTATCATGAAATTAATTTCAGCTCAATTACTATTAGAACATCTGTTAATTTCCCCCCCGCCCCAATCCATCTGGCTTAAGCACTTCAAATGGCATCTGCTGTCAATCAAATAGGTTACATATCAAATGTCATCATAAAGACTTGAAAACAAGCCCAAGATATAATAGTTAACTGTAAAATACCAAACTGAGGAGCTATCCTTGCAGGTTTAATAAATCATGAAGGTTCTCACAACTGAAAGTCAGCCAGACCACCCTAAGGATCATTTATTAATGTCTCTTAAAATGGAAATTTTATTGAAAATTATAAATTGTTGGAGTGTTTTGTTTTGTTTAATTTTTGTTTGGAATATGTTGTTGGTGGTGTGGTGGTGACTTTTTGTTTGGGTTTTTGTAGTATAGGACTTACAGAGATCAGTAGAGAATTGGGTTGTTTATTGTAAAAGGATTTTTTTAAAAAAAGGTTCTTAAAGATTTAAGTGCTATAGGTTCAGAATTTTTGCTTACAACTAAAAGTCAGAAAAAACCTTTATTTTAAAAGTTGAAACAACTAATTATAGGATCTTTTAAGCAAATACTATAGTACTCAGTATCCAAAATAATGTGCTGTGCTCAGAATGTATTGATTTAATCAGAAACTGATTGAAGAAAGAGAGGCGAACACTAAACAATGGGAGCAATGAGGGGTAAAGAACAAGAACATTCATGAGAACTGTTTGCCCAGTTACTTACACTGTTTGTTCATCTACATGTCCTGTGTATGCCTTTGAGAGAACCCAGTTGCTGATCTCTGGCCAAACACACAATTCTGCAGTTGCATATTTGACAGAGTCCTGGCTGTTACACGAGCAGATCACGTGTAGAATATTGCACTGTGAATGTACCAAGCTGGTCTTTTGTGGGTAAGTAGCTGAACATTTTACTAACATGACAAAATCTTCTGATTAGTGTAGCATTCATTAAATGGCGACAGATGCTAGTATTAATTACATGTAGAGCAGATCATTTTCCTATTACATTTCTTTTGTTACCAGCCTCATCATTCCAGTTATCAGCCTGCCCTATAAGCAGATTAAGCACCAGACTTTTTTTTTTTTTTTTGAGGTTGGGGGATGTGTGTCTATATTCCTTGTTTGACCAAAATGAGTGACTGATCTTTCCTATACTACCCCACCATCTGGATTCCTCTCTTGCACTTTTCAAAACCTGTACTTATCATCTGTTAGACAATTTATAAGAAATGTTAATTTGGAAGGTTATTTGTGTGGCTCTCTCAAGCCAGCTGACATTTAATGTTGGAAGCCATAAGAGAAATCACTTGCCTTGTACAAACAGATAATACCTATTGTTTTTTGTGATAAACATTGCCAAATTATAACTAGCATATCAAATATTAATTTGGCATTTCAAGATTGAAAAACATGTACAGTAAAAGGTATATGTGAAACAAATTGCTATCCCTCGTGTCAGTCTTGAACAAAAAGATTCCCATTCTATGTAATAGTATGTGCACTCAAACAAAACAAAAACTATTCACCATTTCCATGAGTACTAGTAGGATTCCTAGAACACGTTTTATGGCCAAGAATGATTTGTAATTTATCACGTTTATTCTGACATGTACACCAACTTTTCCTTCATAACAACTCAGAGCAGTCCTGGAGAGGAAAAAAGGAAACAAACAAACAAAAAAAAATATGAAAAGTACAAATGGCAAAGTCATTAATCTGGAAATAATTTCTGCCATAAACCAAAAGGTTATAAATTGAAAGTTGACAGAGGAGACAGACATTGGAATAATATCTAATCAAAGGATGATAAAGAGTCATTAAAGTGATTTTGGTAGAGAAAGTTAAATACAAACCTAAAATTTAAATCACCCAGGTTTTTTCAGAAGACATGGGGAAGTAACAATGCTTTGCCACATGATACTTATTAGGCCTATTATGATTAAGAACAAAATTATTAATTGGAATAAGTGCAATGAGAACATGAGAGTGACCAAGAAGCAGAGAGTCTTTCACAAGTGGAGACTGATAAAACAAAACAAGCCCTATCCAGAGTGCATATTTATTAAATATATACAATATATCTCATATATATTCACACATACATATACAGCTGCACTTCTAACCATCAGAGAAGTGATGATCTGGAGCAGTTGTTCTTTGTGAAGTAGCAGAGGAAGAAAAGCTTCACTGCCTTTGAAACACATCAAATCCCATTTATGCTGTGAAGATCTATTATGTAGCTGGATGAAACAGCAGGCACTGGGACTGGATGACCTGAAGTTGTCCCTTTCAGTCTTATATTTCTGCAGTGGAACTGGCAGATGCCCACACAGGGGAAATATGTGGAAAAGTTTCTGTGCATTTGTAAAATTATGATTGCTGACTTAAAATAGCTACTTGAAAAAAATGATTTTCGCTGATGGCTCAGAAGATCTCTCCTTCCACACAACTCAGCTGGGTGAATTGCCTTCTGTGAATGCTCATTTCTGCAACTAAGTTCCTTGCCCTAACACTTTCTTAAGATCTTCTGTATTTGTACAGGATTTCTGGTTCTGTGACATTTTGACTTTATATTCAGCTGATACCTGGAAATCCTGGCCATGACCACAGGTCCACAAGCTTTGGAGCATTATAAGATATGCCCAGTAAATCGATAACTTCATCCTGGAGGAGCTGAATTTACTGCTTATGTAAAGCCCAAGTAGATTGTTCAAAGAAGGGTAACACTGGACAGTGTTATTATGGGAGCTTTCATACAAATCCACTGTGCAGCCACCAACTCCCCTTTTTGCTTTTAAAGAAAAATAACAACAGACAGTGCTGAAACCACTTACTTCCAAGAACAGGGCTGTTCCAAGTGGCAGGTTTCAGCATTCATGTAGCCCTGTGCTGGGCTGGAGCCTTAGACTGTGAGGCCTTTCAGGCAAAGACTGTTATTTATTAGGAAACTGCAAAAGAGCTCACTGGGAACGTGAGCCAACAATGAGGCCTCCTCCATGCTAACCCAGGATGGCTAAATATATTTTACATGAGACACAGCTTGGAACATCTGTGATGCACATACCTTCAACTGCTATTTTTGACACAGGTCTCTTTGCAGGAGATTCCATAGCCTGGAGAAAGGTTAACTAGCATCCAGGAGTTTTACATGTACAGAAGTTAAAACTGGAGACACTTCTTACATGAAGGTTTTTTGAGGAGTGAGGAATTAAAATTTGAGTGAATTGGAAAGTTTTGCTGGAATCAGATGCATTAGCTTCAGAAAATATAGTGATATATTCAAATACATACATTCACTGCACAATTCTCAAATGATCTTATTGACATAAAATCAATTCTGAATTTTTTAAACAGTCCAAAGCAGTTATTTTTCAATGACACCAGCTTCCTGGTAATGCTTTGTACAATGAGCATTTGCAGAACAATTTGAACTTACTTACACTGACAGTTATGAAGCTTTTTTTGCATGGTTTATGTTAACTGATTTTGGTTCGTTTTCAGGATATATTTGGGCAGCTGAAAACAAACCCAAGAATAGATACCTGAAGTGTGGACAGGAAATAGATACGAGAACCAAAAACCTGAAGACAGTAATAATAACAAAAACCATCTTATTGTTATTATCCAAGTGCAAAAATGAATAGCAAAGACCCCACAACACTCAGTCACATTCAAAAGACAAACAGAGCACTGGTAGGATTCCTATGGCGTCAGCGGGACAGGCCCACTACAAAATTTCAGCTACTCAAAACCACATATTTCCCAGTTATTGTGCAGCAGTTCTTCCCTGAAAGAACATATGTTCACTATTTTGGTTTACTTTATGAAAACAAACTGAAAACTTCCTCCTAGTTTAAAAATATATTGTGGTTTTTTTCTGGTTCTGGTGAGACATTTAAAGAACCTCCTCAGAAAAGTTTTTGAAACTTCACATTTTCTAAATCATTATGTCCAGCTTGAGACAAGTATTTGTGTTTCTCTCTCTAACAAATATAAAGTAAGTAAACTAAGTAAAAAAGTCTCAAAATGAAACAAAGATTATAGTATATTTGTATTTTTATTTAATAATCTTATAAACTCATAATAAATTTGTTAAATTTCATTTGTTTACTGTCCAACATTTCTCATTGATAATTCTATTAGATTACTCTGAAAAATACTCATATTGCACATTTTGCAGGATATTTTAAAACAAAGGTTCAAAAAACTCTTCCAAGATATTTATCATTGCTTATTTCCCTGTTTGAAAAATCAGTTATCTACACTGGTGGAAGGCAGGACATATGACATCTCCAGGTACAATGTGGAAAATATACACAGCCTTTCCATTCCCAGATGTTAATTTCATGTCCTTGGAATGACATGTTATTGTTTACCCCTTTGCATTAAGTATGATTACCCCGAAAGTGCAACTAAACTTTTCTTTAGAAGTAATACTTAAGGATTTGTCGTTTATTTGCGTTAAATGTCGCGCCACATTTATTTGTGAGAGTAAACTTATGGATGTGCATATACTACTTCGCAAGGCTTCCAACTCACATTTCTCTGTCCTCCTTTCCTCCGGTTCCTCAAGCAGGGCCCCATCGCACAGGCTGGGAAAGCCCAGGTAGAAGGAACTCCCACCTCCTGAGGCTCCCCACATAGTTTCGCCATGTCTGGAAATACCCTTTCGGTAGCCGGCCCTCTCGCAGCCGGGCCTTCCCGGCCCTCAGGAGGCCAGGCCAGCCCACTTACTGGTGGCGCCTCCCGGGTAGCTTCCTGGCGGCGTTAACGGGGCCC